AAATTTATCCCAAAGTCATTAGCAGGTGATACATTGGATCATGCTCTAGATTGAAGCTGAAAGCTCAGTGGCCGTTTGTATTTCTGTCATCTCTTTTGTTTATATTTCTGTTAAGAAAATGTCACAAATTTGGTAGTACAAGTGCCTAGTTCTTTTCAATGCCACAGCTGCGCTGTTTTGATTACTTTAAGTAAAGCATTTCATTACTTTAAGTAAAATCTACAATTCCACCAAAAAAAAAAAAAATCCAAAAAACCCCAGTCTGTGTACCTGCTTATTCTCAACATTCAGGATAGCCTTGGTAGGAGGCAACATTCAAATAAAAAGCACCATATCACTGACAAAAACTGGGTGTAAAATGTCGGCTCATGCTGAAGAAATAATGTGATTATTGATGCTTCACTTATGAAAATGGTTAAGTTTTTCTTGTTCTCTTGTAAGGAAACTGTCACAGCTGGGCTCTCAGCTTGACTTAGTTCATTTAAGTTGCTCTAAGGGAATTTTGCTCTGTGAATCAGAAGAGGACTGACAAATTCTTAGAGATAATAAGAGGTAATATACAGACAGGGCAAGTAGCAGGAGATAGGCTAATCAGCAGCTAATCCTTCCACGCATTCCCACACCTCACTAGCAGGTCTCCAGATTGCTGCAACAGTAAGGAAAAAAAAATGTGTGTGTATATGTGTGTATGTATATACCTGTGAGTGGATCCTGTTCCAGCTGAATGTCTCTGTGGACAAGGAGGTGGCACCAGGCATGTCTTCTGATGGTTGCCTCTTCAGATAGTCGCCTAGTTCCTTTTTTCTGCTTGATGCTCCCTATCCACGCTGTAGTTTGTGTTCTGAGAGCACTAACAGCTCTCCAACATTTTGACCTTTTTTTTTTTTTCCTGAGGAGAAAGCTCATTTCTGAAGAGCCAACAACAAATACTTCTGTAATGTAAATAATTCCTTTCCAAGACTCTTTTCCATTATTTTTCCAAAAGAAAATAAACCGTCATCTTGCCTTGTAAACCTCTCATCATTCTCATCATTATCCTAGAGTTTCTATTTGTCTTTTCTTTAAGAACACATTTCAAACTGAATGTTGTCTTGCCGACTGAGATTCCACCATTGTAACTAAAAGAATAACCCCTTACTGTTGTACTTACTAAATACCCTGCAGTGCCATGTTGTCTTTCCTGCAACAATGTTAGCTAGCTGAATACCTGATTTTTTTGGTTCCCAATGACAGCAAAATTATTTTCTGCCATACTGCTTCATCTGTGCTTCTGTCTCCTAAAAGTATAGCTTTAGTTCCTCTTTCAGCTTCCACCTTTTATTTCTGGGCCATCTGTTTGACATACCAATACCATGGTGATCCTCTTCTTTAGAGCTTCTGCAAAACCATTCAAAACATCTGCCTGCTTGTTCTGTACACGTGCATCTCTTCCCTTCTTCCCACAGGACAGCTAACCACACCTTCTTCGGTTTATGATGAGACACAGACAATGAAATTCTCCAAGTCTTTCTTCCTGGCTGTAGGAATGTCAGAGAGACTTGTATGATGCCTTCCTGCAGTCAGCTCTCTAGTTTGTGGTAGAACATTTTCCTTGTTCCCCTTTCTTTCCCAGGATGTAGGAGGCATGAGAATTCATTAAGGCATAAAAGACACAGAAGGGGAAATGACTTCAAAGACAGCATTTAACCAGAGAAGTAGTGTGCTTTGTCTCAGAAATTTTTTCTCTTTTGTGTGATACTTCAAATAATTAAGAATTCATGGAAGAAAATCACAATGTCCTTGAAAGTTTATTTATTAACCTTGATAGCATTTCAATGATTAGTATCTCCTGGTATCTTCTGGATTTGCCAATAAAATCCTTGAACAGTGTTAACACATAAGGACTTGCAGCAGAGAGGTTGCAACAAGTAATATTTTGTTCTTTTGTGTTCAGAAATCACTTTATTAGGAATTTCGGTAGGTCACTTCACTTGTTTCATGGTTAAAGATACAAAAGGCAATTCTACAGTGCTTAAATGGAAGCTATTACCTAAGCTAACGCTACTGCTCTGAGGGTGTGAGTAATTGTCAAAACCTAACTGAGTTGATGTTGGAGCTGAGATTGATGTAAAGCAGAAGAGAATTGAGAGGAAAAGCTCCTTCTGCTCTTATCAAAGTCTGTTTCAACCATTTGTACTCTCAGCTGAGTCATAAAGATTAATGCAGTCCTCGTACAGCACACTCTTGGGTGATATGTCTTTGTTCCTGAGGCTTCTGTGAAGCCTCCATGTAAGTGATATTATTGGAGTTTCATGAGCTTACGGTGTATCGGATATACATAGAAGGCTCTTTTGGTTTGGTCTCCTTATAATTGGCACAAACAATCTTCAGTGCAGTGATGAGTAGAGTTAGGGTGACCATCTGGGAGTCTCACATCTTTTTTTTCTACTGACATTTTTGCCAAATCAGCTGCAGTTTTGAAATCTCAGCTGAAAGAAAAATGTTGTGCCTTTATGGGTTCCACCATTCTTGCATGATGATGGCTGAATGTAAACAGTCCAAGCTTCTGTTTGTCAAATGAAGAACACGCTTACTTTTACTGCCTTACAAAACCGAAAATATTTAATTAATGCAAAATGCTCATCCACAAGTGCTCAAAATTCTTTAAATAAGAAATGTAACTTTTTTTAACCTAGCTCATCTTTTTTTTTTAAAAAAAAAAAAGTAGAAAAACTTAAATACTTTAAAATTTGCCTCCATTTGTTTTAAGTGCAAATTTAATGAGATTTCCCCTTTTCTGTGGATTGTATTTCTCCTGTATTGAAACTTAAAAGCAAGAGTTGAAGCCTTATTAGTTCAACTTGTTTGCTATTAGTCAGTCATAAAGTTTCACACTCAGTGTACTGAATCTGTTGCTGAACTCCAGGCAGTTTAATGTTCTCTTGAACAGTTTTGTGTGGCTGATGATTTAATAGCTAAAATAACCCCATCAGGATTCTTGCCTTTAATGTTCCAGCTTGAAAATTTACCATTCTTTAGTGGATTAAAGAGGACAGCGTGTTTTCTTGTACTTTGTCAAACATCTCATCAGACCAACACCACTGAATTTTCACAAATCTTAAACTAGGAAAGCACCATCATCTGCTTTGTTTCAAAATCTTTTTGTAGGTTTTAGCATAGAAAACAGTTTCCTGGAAAAATGAATGTGAAGCCTTAGCATGCTCTGCTCTATTAAAGTCTAGTTTAAACTCCATTGTGGTTAATGGGGATAGTTTTCTGCTACCTTTGACAGGAACTGGTGCATGTAAAGACTGATTGTCCCACAGCTGTGAATGACAACTGAAAAAGTAGTCATTTCTGTTGCCTATTCTGTGTCATGAAGTAAGAAATTTCCCTCTGCTGGAAAATAAGGGTCTCTGTTACTGTGTTTGACTGGTGGCCATAGAATCCCCACAGAATATTACGTGTTGTGAGATGACAAAGTGCTCTTATTACAGGATCACCGTAGCTGCTCCAAAAACAGCACGGTTCCATTTGTTTAGTTCCCTCTCTCTCTTGAAATGGAGGAAATGCAATGCTATTTTTAATTTACTTCAACTATGCAAGGATCTGACAAAGTTCACTGAAGGGAATTACAAATAAAGGCAGCTCCAGAAGGATTTACTATTCCTAGCAATTTGTACTCCTTCCAGCATGTTTTGGCACGCCGCTGGTAAGAACCCAATCAGTATATTGTACAAAGACAAAAATCTTCTGAAGCAATTACTCGACAAATGGGGTGGCTCAAGAAGACAGACTGACCCTAAGCTGTGCAAGAGAAGAGTGTTCTTTCCATTAAAATTAGTAAAAATGGCAAATAGGTAAAGGCTGTAAAGATAGGCATGTAACAGAACCACGGTTAGGCGAGCATCTGTCTTTGTTGTAATGGTCTGGTGATTCCTACAGCAAGAAGGAGAGGCAGCTGGTCCAGCTGTGGGATGCTTCTGTACTTCCCACATCTGTCTCTCAGCATCTTGCTTGGTTTTCTGGTTAGAACAGTAGTCTGCTGTGAATGTTATGCCTCACATTTTCCTCCTATATCTCTAAGCACTGGAAAATAACAATTTTCCAAGTATTTAAAATGTAGGCCTCGAAATTCTGAATTTGTCTAGTCTGCAAGGAAATGCCACGGGTTTCTAGAGACAGATGAGGCTGGACAGTTTCTCTAAACTCAGCCATTCTTTTGTTCACGTTCATCTTCCTGACAAATGCCAGAGCTTCAGTGACCTTTCTTTTTCTCCAGTCAGAAAGAGATGTGACAACAAAGGGTCGACTCGATATGCATTAATAAATAATGCATTTCCTAATAAAGCTGTTTAATAACCTCGACTAGAAGTGATAAACTGCACACAGGTGTTCTTTTTAAATGGCAAGTGCTGTATGTTAACTCCTCAGGCACTTTTTAATTATATTCTGTTACCTTGGGGAAGAAAGTGTCATTTGATTTTATTCTATGTTTAACTTAACAGTGAATTATCTTAGATGAGTTAAGCAGCAGTTCTAAGTCCCTGCCAAAGAAAATGAGAAAGGTATTAAGATCATGTCTACAGCATTTTAATGGGTAGATATAAATATAATAATCACTCTAGGTCCAGGAACCATCAAAGGAAACACACATCAAGTAAGTGAAGTTCAAAAGGCTCAGATAAAAATCCCTTTCAAATAGTCTACCTATATAAATTTATGTTCTTAAGTAGGCTTAGATACGCACAAGGAAAATAGATTCAGCTCTGCCTTATGATCATGAAGCATCTTGGAACGTGTATAAATAGCAAGTAATTTCAGTATCTATTTATCTAACGTCAGTAACCCAATAAGACAATAAACACATGCTTAGCAGTGTTAGTAGCACAGGCAGTGGGTGTTAAGGGACTTGTTTTCTTTTTCTCTTCTGTCTTGAGGTACTTTTGCAACATATAGTGGGTAAATATTTGGTTTCAGAAAGAGAAAAGAAAACATTTTATTTCCATTTATTTATCCAGGAAGGCGTGTTTGGAATATTTTTCTTGGAACATTATGCAATGGATTACTTCTGGTCATGATTACATCTGCTTATTCAAGTCATAGATGGAAAATATATATGGAAGAATCCTCTGTCATTCACACCTTGACTTCTCAAATGAGTTTTATTCTGGGGCATTATGAAGGTGCAGCTGACCTGATTTGGTCCGGACAACTTCCTACACGAAACCCCAAGAAGCCCTAATGGTTCTACAGGTACATCTGCATTGCAGTAATACGAAGAACCTTTCCTGGCAACTAAGTGCTGTTTGAAGAATGAGATCGTAGGCACCTGAGATACATGCCATAGAAAAACTGAGAGTAATAAATGCATTTTCTCAGCGTAGTTGCCTTGGAAGAGCTTAGGTGTAATAGGGAGCTAACACCTTAGTTATTTTGCTGTTGCTGAGGTCGTCTTTTGTTCTGCTGTAAATGCTTGATTCCTGTTCGTTTTGTAGTCCGAGGCAAAATGGTGTGTTGTATTTCAGTCAGAGGAGTATTTTCCTGCTCTGAATGAGGAAGCTCCCACACAGTGCACATCTACAGAACTACAAGCACGTGTGTATTTCAGCAGTGCCTGGAACTACACAGCCAGTTAGGGCAGTGAGTCAGAAGGGCACCCTCCCCTTCACGTGCAGATTTCCTTGAAATTTCTTCATACACTTAAGGCAATTTTGAAGATCTGGAAGTAGGGAACACCGTAAGTTGACTTTGGTTATTCTCTGTTCACAATCTCAGACCTTCACAAAAGCCAAAAGGAGTTTTCTTAAGGAAACTAAAGAATCGCGTTTCATAGCTGAAAAACCCATTAAATATAATAATAATAAAAAAAAAAGCAAAACAATTTTACTTTTGTACTATTTTAAATACTATTTTAAATGTGGTGCTATTTTATTCCTTCTGAAAATAACAAGAAGTAGGCTATAATTCTTACTGTTTGAATGTAGCTTATATTGACAGTTCCTGCATCCCTTTTTATAATTTGCTTTATAATTAGACTATTTGCATACCATTTCTCTCTATTAAATACTCAATTATAAACTGTCATGCTAAATGAACAATCCCAAGTGATTATTATTAAGCAGTAATATCCAAAAGAGAGACTGCCAAAATCTCCATGTCCCCCTATGTCTCCAGTCTTATGTGTGCATAGTTCTTTTATTATTCACTTTATTTTGAAATACTGATGAAACACTACAGCTCAGAAGAAAACTTACAAGAAAAGACCTGAAAAAAAATTCACTAAATGTTTCTTAAGCCTTCATTATCTCCTTTTGATTTCTCAAAGACCTGGAAGGAAGCTTTTTGATTATCTGGCCGCTGTTTCTTATGATACAAACGACAAAGAATTCAATAGAATCCATTCCATAGACATCAGTTCCCATGTTTCTGCTTACCATTCACACCCCCAATTCCTTTTGGTGATAGTTTGGTACCCTCCAAATAATTGCACAGTGTTATTTCCATTTATGTCTTTCTGTACTCCTTGTTAGCCGTGCATTTTCATGTTGGCATCATCTGTTCTCCTCAATCTTTTATGGGGACTTCCATCCCCTGCTCATCCACCAAGTATTTTAAGAAAGCAGCCACACTTTCTTTCTTTCTGTTTCTTTCTGTCATGTATTATCATGCTGGTAAGTAGGATTTTCCATTTATCTAATGTCAGTAACCCAGTAAGACAATAAGCACATGCTTAGCAGTGCTAGCAGCACAGACAGTGGGTGTTAAGGGACTTGTTTTCTTTTTCTCTTCTGTCTTGAGGTACTTTTGCAACAGTCTTTTTCCATTTTCCTAATCATCCCAGCAGGTTTTTTTCTGTGTCTCTGAATCTGAATAATTTGGAATGGCACCCAGGGTATTAAAAGAGCTCTGAACAGATCCTCTCTAAGTGTATTAATATTTTCCTAATAGAAATAATTTCTCTGAAAAGTGTTTGTTTGTTTGTTTGTTTTTAAAGGAAATGAAGGAAAAAAAGCTATAATTTAATTTGCTTTGTCAAGGCTGCACTGTTCAATGTTAACAGGAGAACCATGCTCCTATTTTGCTTTAAAGTGGTCAGAGCATGCACAAGCTGAACTCAACAGTGATATTTTTTGGTTCACTTATTTGAACAGATTTTAAACGTTCTCCAAAGCTGTGCTGTTAATATTTGGGCAAATATATATATAAATATATATATGTGTGTGTGTGTGTATGTATGCGTGTATTTTATTACCCAAATCCTTCATTTCAATCTATCAACCAAAGAACTTCATTGTATTGTTTTTGGGAAGGATGATCCTCATGTCAGCAAAGTTGAACATGATTTTAGTAGCTGTAGCTTATAGCATGCCTGAAACTGGTCACAGATTTATTCCAAGAATGGTCCAAGTAACAAGTTTATGTGTTTGAAAATGCTGAAATTGTTGGTAGGGAAAAGACAGCAGAGCAGTGGCATTCTGCAATGAGCAGAGCAATGAGAGTGGCAGTCTGATGTAAATCTTGTCATAGGAAGTTTTAGGACTATAGAAGTTATCAGCTGTATTTAAAGAAATTTAAAAAAAAAATAAATAAGACAAAGAAAAAAAATTCTCTCTAGGAAATAACAACCACCAACTGATTTGTTCTCTCCTGAGTGTGTAGTTGACTTTCTCTTAAAAGCTAAGTTGCTTTGGAAACTTCCAGATAACCTTCTTTTTATTTATTACCTTCTTCATACTTTTCAAATGCAGCTTTTATCCACCTATAAATTGCCCAGTGGCCTCACAAGCAACTCCAGGGACACAGAGTTATTCTATTTTCTGTAGCAGACGTAGCATGGTGTAGCAGAACACATTGTCTCTAAAATAAAATTAAGTGAAACTGGTTACTCTCCTGTATGGGCATTTTCTTTTAGCCTGGCCAAGTGGATGACTGTGAGTAAATCAATGATTTCTGAAGTGGTACCTCGGGGTTTGCTGCCCCTCAGCAGGGCACTGCAGTCTGTGGCACCTCCTCACTGGGCATCTTAGCAGACAGCTGAACCTTGGTGTAATTGGAAGTGGCACTGCTGATGCTGGGGGATATTTTTAGCAGAAGACGTAGGAGGGAGCTTAACAGAAAATGAAGAATTGTTCAAAGTGTGAAGTACTGTCAATAAAGTCATGAAATGTAGGATCTAGGGAGTCAGAGGAGTGATGAGGTAAAGGACTAAAAGCAGGTAGCGAGAGTTAGATATGGTAGACATAAGGCACAGAAAAATAACTTAGAGTATTCAAGGTTTAGACAAAATAGATGAAAATGCAACAAAGGAGGAATTTAGCCAAAGGTTCCGAAGATAGAGTGAACCTACCACCAACAGATGTTACAGCAGAGCATCATTTTGAAGGAAAAACTGGTAGGGAAGCAGAGATTAACAGAGAAGGTTCTCGTTGTGAATCAGAAGCAAAGGAAACAGTTCAAGAGATGGATGTTTATTTTACAGGAAGGGGGCTTGCCTTGGTGAGAACAGGTGAGTGACAGAGGCAGAAGCATCACTGCAGGAGAGGACAGCAGAGTAGCTGTGTCTGAGGAGTAACAGGCGTTCTGTGAGAAGGAAAGGGGCAGGCTGGGGCGAGGGCGCTGCTGGCTGAGTGTTCTGTTTGACCCCATCCATGAGGCACAGAAGGCAGGGGTGGGAGGAAGGGACACGGGGAAGGGGAGGCAGCAGAGAACGGTTAGTGGTAAAAATGTGGAAGAGGGTTACATGAAGTAGCAAAATGGCTTTAGAAAGGAAGGGAAGAGAATGAGGAAAAGAGGAAATACTGATCTTGATGGTAGAATAGCATTCGTATAAATGACCTGGCCTGAGAACTGTAGGAGAGCTATGAGAACACTGCGCCCTACTGTATTGGAGTGAGAGGGAACTGAATAAAGGGAAACTCATGAAATAAATAAGCTTTTTTTTTTTTTAAAATTCAAAGCACTGAATTGTAATGGTGCAATTAAATGTTGCTCACTAGATATCTTGTACATGTCTCATGTCTTCCTTATCTATAAACCATTTTGTTAGCTATTAACTCGTGACACTGTTAGATACTGAGAAGTATTATGGAAAGGGAAAAGGAGACAACTTTTCTACCATGCTGGTGCCAATAGTCTGTTTAAGGCTTGCTTGCTGACATTATGAATTGCAAGCTGCCAAATAGCAGCTGTGCCTTGTCTTTTTGCTTCCTCCCTCCCCTCTCCCCTTCTTCTTAAGGTTGGCAACCACGCAGCTAACAGACACAGCAGAAGGATTTGATTACAGAGGTCACAATGATTTTTGCACCACCTTATTAGTTTTCATCTCTAAGAAGGTCCAGGGGGCACTGCAGAAATTCAGTGCCTTATAATGTACTACTGTGGACCCATTGCTAGTTGTTCTGTACCTAGGCATCTAATGGGCATTGAGAGAGTCAGTTAGGCTGTGATTTGTATTTTACTATTTGTGGGGAACAGAAAATTTAAATTCTAAGTACTTGTGTACTTATTACATTGCCATTACCTCATACCTCATCATGTGAAATGTAGTTGCTGAGGTACACATTTTTTAATGCTAAGATGTTCCATATTTTCAGTGGAACTAAGAGAAAAGGAAGAGAAAATTAAATAGTTATCTTCAAAGTGCACCTTGCACTGAGCCAATATGTGACCTGCAACCTAGCCTGGGTGAGCTGCTGAATACAAATAACATCGATTGCTTAGTATCTGTTTCTTAAATTAGAAAAAAAAATACATAAGGGAATATATGCAAATAAATGTGATACTAGTGTATGGTTTGTGGATGAATGGTGTAATATATGTGTAGTCATAGCAATAGTCTTATGACCTGAAATCGTAGTACTCATGCGTTGCCCCAGCTGAAAAGGGGTTTGAGCATGTAGCTAAATATGAGCATTAGAATATGCATTATGCAAAAATGTTTTCAGGTAAGTATTTGCAGCCCTCCATCTTTATTAGCAGAGGTGAGCTATGGAGTGCAGGCTGGCTACATTCAGAGACACAATGAAAGTGAATGCTGAGAGAGAAAAAAGCTTTATCTTTTATTTCCCAGCTATAATATATGTATAATAGCAATCAGTAAAGTAATAATATAATTGTTCGAAATACGATTATACCATTTCTCTGGAGTCTGTTAAGTTCATGTAGATGAGAGTTTCATTCCACAGATGCCTTTAAAGTGCCTGAATATTTTTGGCTGGGCTTTTTGGTATTCTGTTCACTGTCACGCCGAAGTAACATAATCATAATGCCTGCATAAATCAGCAGTCTTCATCACCTCAACAACACCATCAACACCTCAACAACAACCATCTCTATTCCATTGGAAAATGAAACCGGTGAAGGTGCTAAAGGACTTGAAAGAGGTGTAAGTGCTAAAGGATTATCAGCACATCTGACAGTGCCAGTAGCAGGAAGCTCATTCTAGGATTTCTTGGATCACATCACATGCTCACATAGACCTCTGATTGTCATTATAATGAATTACTATAATGGGGGCTCTGTGTCATTTTAGTTAAGACACAGTCACTTTGTTCATTGCAAGCTTCAGGTGCTTCAGTAATATGCAAGAAATTGATGCTATATATATATATAATTATATATATACTATAATATATATTAGTTATATATAATATGCATAGTTATATTTAATATTATATATATATATATATATATATATATACACACATATAAATTTTTTCTTCCAGATGTATGGAAAATGAAGGGGAAATAAGGTTTGAAAATTTAAAAAAATTGAAGGCCTATTGTGAAAGGGAAGATGTGCTTTTATGTGGCTGGTAGATGTCACTGAAATGAAGGTGAATCTCATTCAGCTGTAGACTGATAAGTTTCTATAATCTGTGTAGGTGACAAGGAAAATAGTTAATAATCTGTTAACAGTGAATATACTATGGAGAGATAAAGGTGCTTCCAGCTGCAAAAAATATAAAAGCAACAAGTTTAGGTTATTTCTACCAACCATGATGTTTGTAACTTGGAAAGAGCTTTTGTTGTTTTGAAGGAAGCTTGCACTAATTAAAAGAGCATTAATATGCACTGAAAGTGATGCTGTGTCCAGAAGCGAAAAATGGCAAGACATGCACAATTTAAAACGAGGCTCTTGAGTGACAGAAACTGCAAGCAGGTGGTTAGAAGTTCAGAGAGAAATGGAAAGGAGACGTTTCTCGTCCCATCTGATTTCAGTACCTTTACTTAGTCAGAAAAGGCTCAAAGACATTAAACATGATTTCTCGGAAGAGCAGGTGGAAGGAGCTTTACTGTTCTTGGCCAAACTTCATGTTAATTAAAGGAAAAAACTTTGGGGACTGAAAATCTATTAATGAATTAATGGAAAGGTTACCATGGGAAGAAAGACACCCATTCAAGAAGCGACTGCAAGCCTGACTGCTCAAATCACTGAACTATTTATTTTTGTCCTCTTTGCTTTTAATGATATATTCAAACATTCTATAGTGCTCTGGGACCTGTATAATTTTTGTGTGCTACCTCAGGGAAATGATTTATGGGAATATCTGAAATGAAAATTGCTGTGTAAATCAGTGACCTTCATCTCCTCTGCCTTTTTATATAAGGCAAGTTATCGCACAAATAGAATGTTCTTTGAAATCTGGCAAAACCAAGGATTAACTTGTAGATGAGTGGTTTGAAATGCAATCCAGAATTCTTCCTGTTCATCTCTTATAACAAGCTTTGATCGTGTGAGGCCTGCATGCACCCTGGCCCACGCTTCAGCTGGGATCTATGTCAATCTTTCCTTCCTTTTAGAAGCCATCTTTAGGCAGTGTGTTACCAGCCCTTTCTCACGACCAGTTTTTCCTATACTGCTAGGCTGAATCAGGTGCAAGCAACAGGAATTAAACTGTCTTGGAAGAACACAAGTATGGCTGATGTACAAATAAATAGCATAGGACAATTGTGGCCATGGCTTCACAGAATCACAGAATGGCCTGGGTTGGAAGGGACCTCAAGGGTCACGAATCTCTAACCCCCTGTCACAGGCAGGGCTACCAACCTCTATGTTTAATACTAGACAGGCTTCAATGAGTCAAGATGAGATCTTCTGGAAAAAGCTGTCATCAGTACCATTTGTTAGTGAAGTATGGGGAGGAATTTGCTGCACTTTCCTAAGCAACAACCTTTGTTCAGATAGAACTTGAAAGATAATGATTTTTGATTCAATATGAAGATAAAGAAGAAAAGTGTAGTTTTCAGATGCTCAAAATACCTCATTATGAATCTTTTGTTATAATTCATTTCTGTTACCAGAAGTTATTCTGTTTAGATGTCGGGCACTGTGAATTAGGCAGGCATCAGAGATCGGAAGTGGAAGATAGTCACTAAATCATATGTATGGGCTTTGTCAGTTGCATAAACAGCCTGGAGAAGAGGAGGCTCAGGGGAGACCTCATTGCTCTCTATAACTTCCTGAAGGGAGGTTGTAGTGAGCTGGGGGTTGGCCTCTGCTCTCGTGTCATTAGTGATAGGAGCAGGGGGAATGGTTTCAAGCTACGTCAGGGGAGATTCAGGCTGGACATGAGGAAGTATTACTTTTCAGAAAGGGTGGTCAGGCACTGGAATGGATGCCCAGGGAGGTGGTTGAGTCACCGAGCCTGGGGGTGTTCAAGGAAAGGCTGGATGTTGTGTTGAGGGACATGGTTTAGTGGGAGCTATTGGGAACAGGTGAACGGTTGGACTGGGTGATCTTTTAGGTCTTTTCCAACCTTGGTGATTCTATGATTCTATAAGGTAGCAATTGTACAGGCAATATAACAGGAGTTGCTCCAATAAGTTGTATTGCAAGGAATGATGGTGCCACACTGGAAGAAATAAAGATCAGGAAACAGTTTCCTTTTCCTGTCCAAGAACTGCCAATGTGATTTTTCTTCCCCAGTGGGTTTGCCTACACATCAATGTACACAAAAAAAAACCCCTCGGTTTAAAAATGAATTATGCAAATTAATGCTCTGATCTTGCATTCGTGTCTTTCATGGGTTTAGCATTTCACGTCCTGCTTCATGCTTTCTCTGTGGTCTGAGATAATTTTGTTTCTTACATATCAAGCATATCTTACTGTTATTTAACACACACTTTTAACTAAGCACAAGAATGCTTTATTTATTTTAGATCTCTGTAATACTAAAAGTATGTAAATAAATCTTAGTGCAGGTTTCCTCTTTCTAGACATTGACCTTGCTGCCCAGACTAAAGAAGTGCTTGGTTAGCTTAATGACAGACTATTACTCAAATCTATAACAAAAAGAAGAAACACGAGCTTTAATCTGACTTTACAGCAGCTATATAAAAAGTGTAGATGTGGAGAAAGAATAGGATTGTCTGTGAAACTCAAGTAAATCTTAAAACAAGGGCATTTTCACATTAATTCAGAAGTTAAATTACATGAATAGTTTCATCTGAACACTTTAATCACTAAGAGGGGGATGTTTATATTAGTTATCACGTGAAATTGAATTTGCTAACATTTTTAAAGTGATTGGTAGGTAACATCAGATGCTGAATTTTTATACCCCTACAGTTTGTATTTTATTTGAGGCTCTGTAAAATTTTTCATAAACAATATTTTCAGTGTTACTGTTGTAATAACATGCTCAGACGTGTGGTATTCCGTATTTATAAAACAACTAAATATTCTGTCATTCGCTATTAAAAATAGAGGGCAAGTTCATGGAGAATTTTTAAAAGCAGTCAAATGCTAAAATCCCAGAAGAGTCCGTGTGTATGTTGTTGGTTTTTTTAACTATCACTTTCTGCAGGATGAAGAGAGAAATCATGTAGACCAGCTGCAGCTGCTACCACTGGCGTCTCCAGCTGGTTAACGCATAAGGATTTTAATCATGGGCCTCGGGACAGAATCACAGTGAGTTGATTTTTGTTCAGGCAGAAATTCCATAGTTTGTGCAGAGGCAAGAATAGGCTGTACTAATGAAGAAGATTCTGTGGAAAACAGGGATGTCTGTAGCAGTAAAGGAAAAAGATACCACCAAAATCTATTTATTGAGATGGTAATAGAGTTATAGACATAATCTTATAGAAATTCATGAAATTCCTTGTTGGAATATTCTAAAATTATAATTCCAGAGAGACAGCAAAACCAAATCAAACTTTTTTTTTTCCAAATTTCTGCCAGAACCAGAGCAAATTGAGCTGTTAAAGTCTGAGTCCATGAAAGTGACAAATAAATCCATGATTGCCTCTCTCGGTGCTGACTGGCCAGGATACCTAAGGAGAGACAACATAATGATTTTTCTTGATAACTTTTCTTCAGTTTTCTAATCAATCGACTGAGGAAAGTGTCTACCTAGGGGAGTGCTGGGCTTTAGAAAGAAGAGTTTAAACAAAAAAAAATCTATTTTGCTGTTGTACAGTATTGTATTATCGCCCATCTATGTTCTAGCTAGAACTTCACACTGCCAAATCTGATTGCAGGATCAAAGTCAGAATTGTTTAACTCTCTTTGCAGTAAAGGCAAATTGCACAAGATGTAATCATTCTTCTATCCTTTAGATTTAAAATCTCCAGAATCTCCAGAGAACTCGCTGCAGCTTTTGAAGCTAAACATTTTCTTATTTAAGTCACAGTGTCCCTTGGCCTTTATCACCTGCAGAACCCAATATTGTTTTAAGAGAACCTAATAATGTTGCCACAGCATGTTCTCCTGGGAAGCAGTTGGCACTAATGTGAGAATGACACTTACCACCCTCCTGCTTTTTTTCCAACCACTAATTTACACTGGGGGAAGCAATGACAAGCTGAACAGCAAACGAGAATAAAGCATCTGCACCTGGTGGAAGCGGTGTTTGCAACACAAAAATGATTGCTTACCATTCCATCTAGAGCTGCGGACTTCAGAGTAACCAAGTGTGTTTTTCACTAACTCTTTAATGGCTCCCTCCTCTCTGAGTCTAATTGAGAGTCAAAGTAATGTTTTAAATACAAACACTTCTGAGAAACAGCATTAAATAATAAGCACACACGTCTTTTATCAAAGTTTATAGAATTAAATGAAGTATATAAGCCTGAATATTTTTCATTGTGCTGTTTTTTTTTTTTTACTTTATTGACTGAAGGTTACCTCACTGAGGGATGAAAGCACAAAAGCAGATAAAATTGTATACCCAACAGCCAATTATTCTTAAAGAGAAAATATGAAAGAAAGCACTGTTCCTCTTACATTCTGTTATTACTTGTATTTAAATGACTGTGCCTAACCAAATATTTTAATACTCAAATTTGAATGTTATGCTACTGTTTGTACTGTTCAAACTTTAAAGATAACTTAATTCATTATTTTTTTTTAAGCAATATTCTTAATTTAAAAGTAGTTTTGGGCAAGAGCTGGTATCGTTTCCAACAGAAGGAGACTGTAATGTATCCTATTTCCTCAGGACAATTTTTTTCCAGGAAAATACATCTGACATGTGAGAATGGATGCCATAGGTGGAGAGAATGAAAAAGGAAGAAATATCATCATAGGAATGCCAAGGTGGTTGTTTTCATCAAGGAGATTAACTTGAGCCATGGTGAAAGCAGTCTGGAAGACATTAATGTGCCATGTTACCAACAGTATTTGGTGAGTGTGAGTAAAAATGTAAACATAGTTAAACTTTACTTTACACTGTTCAGCACTTTCTGGTACTTTGTAATGGCTGTCTAAGGCTTCTGGGAGGCACATATAGAAGGTAAACTTTAAGTAAGCTCTTACAGTTCCCTATAGACAGCTGAGGAGTCCAAGAATCTTTGAATAATGCTTGTAAATGCCGCATGAGATTTCCTTTACAAACATCTATATTAGGTCTAAATTAGATGTGAATCACCTTTCTTGGTTGCATTAATTTGCATTATTTTTTGACAGCAGGAGCTACTGATTAGTCAGCACAAAAAAATCGTCTTCTGTTTGTTACCCTTCTTGGGTATAGGGATGTTAGGGTATGATAGAACCCCAGGGAGCAGCAGCGCAGTGCTGTGTCAGGGGAGGGTCAGGAGGAGCTTGAGAAAAAGGTTCTTAGGCAGAGGGCTGTGGGCATAGATCAGGCTCCCCAGGGCAGTGGGCATGACCCCAGGCAGCTGGAGCTCAAGCAGCATTAGGACAATGCTCTCCAGCCATATGGAATATTTGCTGCACTCTCATGAAAGTCACTGAACAGTGTATGACAGCAGTCTGAGGAAAACTAGCTTCTAAGTACTGGCAAATGTCTTCAGCGTGGCATGCTGCATCTTTCACAGTGTCCATCTCCTCATAGTACGTGAGGCTGGGGAACCTGTGTCTGATATGATAACATAGGCTTTAATGTCTCAAGGTGGCACAGGAAACAAGAGATGCAGCTGTCAGTGCCACACAGGGAGATTTTGAATGATCAGCTTCTATGCCACACTTGGTTTTGCTGATTTTGAGCATTGTACTAATATCCTCCAGAGCTTTAAGGTGTCTGCTGGGTGTCTTTGTTATGCTCCTACAGAGGGGAAACTGCTAATCTGAGCAGGACATTTATAGCTGGTAAATTTTATAGGCTGCATTGAAGAGCAGCTTATATCTTTGCAGACTAAAATCCCAATTTAAATCTAACTCTCTGGTTGTTAGCTTAGAAGCATGGAGTCACATTTAATTGGTTTGCATTGATTGTTTGAAAGTGCTTATTCGTTTAATACAGTGTTTTGACAAAGCAGTAGACTTCTGCTTCCTTTCAATAAATGGAAAGGAAGGTAATTACTGGCAGAATGCTAGCCAACTTTTTCACTTCTCTATATATGGATGTACAAAAAAGTGCGTTTGTATACTCTAGTTTTTAAGCTATGAACAAACTGCAACCTAAAAAATGAACACACAACAGAAAAGTGTAACTTGTTTCTTCCTTATGAGGTGCTTCATGTTTCTGCATCCCAAGGAAATACCACTGGTTCTGAACTGAATTAACAGCAGAACCTAGAGAATGAAGGAATGGAAGCCCTCAGTATCTCCTAGGTTCATTAAGCATTTATAAAATATTTGCAGAAATATGGATAAATAAAATAGCTCTTCTATCTGTATAGAACATTTTTCAAACCAGTGTCCCATTATTAGTGCAGTGTTCAACTAAAAACTGCCTTGTCAATTTAATCAGCAACTAAATACTCTGCAAATGGCATCTCCCAAAATGGGGAGGAAATACATAACAATTTTTTTTTAATTCATGTAACCACTGAAATAATACCACTCAATTGCTTGGACTTCCTTCAGTCTTGAGAACCATTTCAGACGAGGGAAAGAGAAAAATGAACTGATCTGAGCATTGCCACTCATTCATCCTTGGATCAACTGCTACACTCCTGAGCTCTGCTGTTAGAAAACAGAACAGGTCTGCTGACTGTTTCCAGGGAAAGTAACCACTCCTTTGAAGTCCCAAGCTCTTACTTAGCAAGCACTTCTTCATACAGTATCTTCACTGTAATGTATCCCAAGTTTTATACTTAAGACTTATGCAAGGGAAAATAGACTTCCTGTTGCTTCAATGGTTAGTTAATAGGAATTTTCAGAGTTCCTAACCTGGTAAGTTCTGCTTCTGTGCAAACTTTCAATAGTAGTACTCACTTGATTAATGTTGTTTGTTCTATTTTTACACCAGCTTTGCCTGCTGGCTCCAGATAAATTACACACTGACACCTTAAGATGTGTACCTATCTTTCTCTATTTCTTCTTCACACTTTTAATTGACGTCTCTATTGAACTATTGATAACAATATCCACTGAGCTGTGGACTGTACTGAATTTTTTCTCATTACGTTGTGAAACTTGCAGTTGTACACGTGTCACATACTGGGTTGGACCTTTGAAAAAGTAAAGGACATTTCTTGCTAAAAAATATGGAGTTCTTAGAGGTATTATTGTTGTGGCTTTGCTCTTTGAAATAAAGGAACAGTATTTTTCTGTATTCTCACTGGCATCTGCATAGTATCTGTGGATGAATGATTCTGCATTATAGTATCTGCCATGCCACAGTGACGTAGAGCACTTGGCAAATGTTATGTGACATTTTAAGCTTTTAAAAGTGTGTAATAATCTAAACAAGATGCCCAAATCTTGGCTAAAATATAGTCGAAGTAATTGGGTAATGATTAATAATATGCAATCTCTGTTCTGATATGTGATCTAGAGTTCTGCCACTGACCCAAATGAGAAAGCGGATTTAAGCCGTTAATTAGTCATGTGGGGAAGTGAGAAGAAATTAACAGATTTTACATTCACATGCACTAGCAGGAGGGAGGAAGAAATATCACACAGTCAATGTGACAGAAGCTTCCCCCAAAAGGGGCACGAATTTTGAGTATATTGACTAAGGAACAACTTATGTGGTACTTCCTATGGTAATGTATTCTGCTGATTAATTGTCCTCGCTGTTAGAAAGCCACGCATTATTTCTACTTTGCATTTGTCTGTCTTTCAGCTCTTCACTGCTGCTTTGCATCATGTCTTTCTCTGTTATATTAAACAGCCCATTTGTATCAAGCTAAAGCAACCACATGAAAGTGTTTATAAACCATAATCAAGTTACCTTTTGATCTCTGTTTTGATAGAGTATGACTCACTAAAGATCTTCAATTATTTTTAGTATTTTTGCAGCATATTTTCCTAGTTTTTAACTCCCCTTTCCACAGATATTAATTTAAACGAAGGAATAGTAAAATAGGTCACGTATTCATGAACTCGCCTGTCTCCAAAGATAACCATTAACCTCTCTAATCAGCTTGGCTAGAAGTTCAAGGCAATTTAGAACAAAGATTGTTGGACAGGACTGTAGGAATGTATCTGACTTACTTATATATTATTTACATATTCTTCAAACTGTAATTTAATGTCTTGGCCATAGATCTTGCCCTTTTTGTTTGTCAGGCACTTGATTTCCTTGCACTTTTGAGGGAAAAAGTCATTAAATACTTCAAAATACTTCAAATGCAATTGTGCAAAGAGCCTTGACGTTACATGTACCACGAAGCGCGGCCCCAAACCTGTCCTTTATTTTCAGTTATGTGCCCAATAATTTCTTGTTCCTCTTGATGCCCCTTGCTAGTTGCACCTCACTTAATCCCCTTGGCTATGCAGATTTGGGGCCTCATGCCTGATCTATACTTTTGAAATCATCTTCAGCAATCTGATTTTCGTTTCCTTTTCTAGTACAGTCCAATTTTATATGAGAGAGTAACAAAATTAATTTGTTATTCCTCTGCCTTTCTTCCCCCCCCACAGTTGCATAGCTTACACTTTAACTCTAAATACTTCATCTCTGAAGAGTTGCCAGTTCAGCTTTTCTTTTTTTTTTTATTTCAAATCATTATCCCAGGAGAGTCCACCTACAAAACCTCTGATTTATGAAGTCTGCTTTTTTGAAGCTTGCTATTTTTATTCTGTACTGCACCAGCTTTCCAAGCCCTAGCTTCCTTGCAGCTGTATTTTCTCCAAACATGTCAAAAGTTTCAGAGATTTGTTATTGTTAAATTACTTACAGATGCTGTAAAGGAGCAATCGCAGTCGTACATGTGATCAACACGCAGGGAACAACGTCTGCCTAAAGGTGGTAGCTTCTTTGTCAAAGTATTTTGTGTTATCTGTTATTTCATTCCATGAGGAAATGAACTGAAGAAACCTGACCTCAAATGCAAAACTGCATGTCGCTGCAGCATAGTTGTGACATGAAAAATACGTGTGCTGTCCCATGGCTAAAACCATATGAACGGAGCTAAATGGGAATCTTATGCCAAAAGAAACACAAAATTCACTTAAAGTAAAACAAACAAAAAAAAATCATTTAAAAAAAACTAACAAGTAGTGCGTCCCATCTAATGACTTTTTTGGGGATAGGGAGCAATGGAGATGAGGAAAGAGGGCTGGAGAAGAGTGATGAAGGGAGAAAGGGATTGAAAAATGGTTGAAGTAGTGAGTGAGGGAAGGAGGAAGAAATAAGTGAATGGATGAAGAGATGGAGAAGTGGGTGAAGAGGAGGAGTGGAGGAGAAATGGAGGATGGTTGGAGGGCTGTGGAACCCTTCCAGCAGGACTACTAATCTAACTACTGCTCCTTCTCATTCCCCAGCACGGTCCTGCTCATCCAAACACCCACAGAGGCTGTGTGCCACCATCCCAAACCCTGTCCCTGACCCCAATATCATCCCCAAACAATTCCTCACCAATGCCACCTGCTAAGCCCTGGGTGTGGGCCATGGCTGCACCTTTGACCACCTCCAGCATGATTTCTCAGGCTTCTGCCTCTACATTTTGACAGAACACTGCTTCAGAAATAAGAGCCCCAGATTCTTCTGTGTCCTCATCCAGGGCAGCCCTGGCAGTGTCATTGGTGCCAAAGTCCATGTCTTCCACACGGTGAAGGAGCTGGAGCCTGGGCGGGTGCTGGTGAGTAGCCCTTGGGATGAATAAGGGAAGAGGGGCAGTGCTGAGTAAAGATATCAAATGGTCTTCAGAAGGGTGGTAGGTGGAACATGGAGCCCATTGAGTGCCCCAAGAACTCAGGAACACAGGGAGAGAACCCAACATTCCAAGGGGGACACAGAATTCTGCGTGGGATCCTGGCTCCCAAAAAGGGACTGAGGGCTTGTTTGTTTGTTTGTTTGTTAATGTTTTGTAAATAAAAGCTTCCCTCGTTGTGTTAGAACAATGTTCTGAAGTTTGATATTTGTCTCTACATTCCTTCATCAGCTGGGACGTTGATGCCGCTGCACACATCTCCTGTTTGGTCATTGTGGTTTGTGTAAAAGATTGGTGAGATGTGCAATCTCTGCATGAAATTTCATTCAAGTGTTTTCCTTTATTTGCCCCTAGGAAGCAATGGCTTGGAAATGGCGGTATCAGCCAGGAGCCCGCGCAGCAAACTGGTCTCATCATTTGGATCTGTTGAAAACCGCCGTGATGACAAAGGAACGCTTGGGTCGTTTCTGTGCTGACTGTCACACAGCCTTGTGGAACAGGCAGGGACACGGCATGGCAGAGAAAAGGGATTTCTCTTACGGTGGAAAAGGTGCCCAAGGAACGTTCACATCCCACGTGCAGGTGTGTAACCCCCCCCCCTTGCCCGTGCCCCACTGCTTCTGAATGGGCAGCACAGCTTTTGGTTCACTCAGTCACCTGTGGCACAGCAGATCAGGCTTTCTGCAGGCGTGGGAAATCATCCCATCGCTTTGTGCCTTACAAGGAAAAGGAAAACTTTCTCTTGTTAGAGTCCGACTTCCAACCCTTACCGCCTACAGTGAAGAAGATGCCGTTTTTCTCGTATCCTTCAATTCCAAGTCCATATTTTCCAAAAGGCACAAGAATTCAAATTTGAATTCCAGCAAGCAATTTCAGTGTCTATTTCTGATTGTGGCAATTATTCGGTTCAGAGGTCCCACTTAATCTAAGGTGCCTGTTTTAATTCAGACAAAGGCTGCAGTTGCAGCTGACTCCCCAAGACTGCAATAGGAGGTGGTGACACAGCCTTGGGCTTCCGTGTTTGTGCTAATCCCACGTTTCCTTTCTCTGCCTTGCAGGGCAGCTCGTGCTGCAAGTGGCCAGGATCGCACTATGGATGAAGGTCGGCGTGGGAGCAGCTGCTGATGGGAGCAGGAAGTCCAGGCTGATGCACTCTGAGGCATCTCTTGGTGCGGTACCAGAGGTGGCAGTAATGATGTCGGGGCACAGCTGCAGAAGAACGTGAGGAGCTCCCCAGCAGGAAGCCACAAAACCTGCAGAAAGCTGCAGGAGAGCCAGAGCGTGCGCGGGAGCCCAGGAGGAAATGCAGCCCAGGAGTTGGAGCGGCGCCTGGCCATGGAGTGCTGCGGCCCACGGCCAGAGCTATTCTGCCTTCGCCGCGCCGGCTTCCCAAGCAGGACGTGTGTGTCTGCATAAAAACCAGAGGGCTGGCTCATCCAAATGCTTGCTGATTGTTTGGAAGATCAAATCCTTCAGGCCTCCAAGCAGGAGGCAGCCCAAAGGCAACATCTCCTGGGTGCAATCATGGAGAGCCTGAGTGAGAAGGTGACCTGAGATGGCTGCACGAGAGTCACCTTAATTTCTCTGTTATCTTACTTCCAATAACCCCACTGGGTGACCCTTGTGTCGGTCTCTTAGAATTTGGATCTCGGAGGTGTGCGCTTCCTTTGCTTAGAATGAAAGCGCAGGAGTGATGCGGAACCGTGCTGAGGTCACAGTCGTTGCTGGGGTGGCAGGGCTTGGCCCTCCTGGCGAGCAGAGCTGGTGCTCTAGTGAGCGAGTGGCACACAGAGACTGAGCTCTGAGCGTTTTGTGGAAGGGATCATCCTTGAGAGCCCGTCAGAAGCACCGCTTTGGCGAGTGTGTGACCTGGGCACAGCCTGGACTGACCTGGACCAAGAGGTGAGCTGGGCTTGGTGCTGCGTGGTGGCTGGAAGGAGTCTCAGCAGCAAAGCTGGGCTGGGGAGGAGTTGCCAGCTCAAACGAGGCCCTTCCCAATGGCTGTTTCCAGGGGAAATTGATTCTCTGAGAGATTCAGTCACCCGTTTGGGTGAGGATGACGAATTGCCGTCACTCCCCTGTGTAACGCTGCAGTGCAATGGAAAGTGCAGCAGTAACAACAGGGTGGCAAAGTCCTAGGCTGCAGCAAGGGAGGATTTGCCCAAGTGCAGCAGCTGTGGGCACAGAAAGAAAGGAAAAAAGCTGCTGAGCCTTGGAAGGCCTCAGGTAGCAGGGATCTCCAGTCAGACACCCTTGCCTCCACTGCCAACCCTTCAGTGATGTCTGGGAAGAGTTTGTGTGCACCTGAGCTGCCCTGCCCTCCCACCAGGTGCTCAATCACTGCCTCAAGCTGTGGCTGACCATTGCCACACAGCTTTGCCACTACAAAACTGCTGCTGGGCCCCAGCCTTCATCTCAGACAGGACAAAGGAAGAAGAGCACGGACTTGATGCAGTGCAACTTGTGCTTTAATGCCCCACTGAGCGCTGGCTGTGCCGTATCCAGCCCATTTTTAACAAAACCCCCCTGAAGTCCCGGTGGAGAGCCGGGTGCTCAGCTGGGGACATGCACTGTCCGGTGACATCACAGGCACGGTGACATCACAGGCACGGTGACATCACAAGCACTGTGCTGGGGCCGTGGCTGCCACCAGTGAGTGCCACAGCCGTGAGCGCTGCGCAGCAGTGTGGACACGCTGCGTAAGCTCTCGTCCCGGCTGGCAGTGAGAGTGGTGGAGGCTGACGGTGCTGCTCAGCCATTGGGCTGGAGTGTGAGCTGGAAGGGAGAGGGACTGCAGCTGTGCCTGGTAAGCCAGAACTGTAGGTTTGTCAAACGTGGGAGTCGTACCAGTGCATCCATTGCAGCTGCAGCAAGAGGAGAAGATGAAGGGGGTCATTTTCATGTCAGGAACGCAAAATGTGTGCTGCTAGGTGTATAACTGGTGGTGAGATGGAGGACAGTGCTTGCTGGGAGAAGTTGTGGCAGTTAGACACAAGTTGGATCTAGACTTGGCAGAGTTCTTGCAACCAGCTGCTTCTGAGACTCCTCGAAAGTCAGCATAAAAGAAGAAAGCTGGGAAAATGCTTATTCCTCATGGTTCTTCCCTTGTTGACTCTTTCCTTAGGGTTCCAATCTGAAAGGTGATCTTGGGTCCAAGCAGTCCCAGAGTGCAGCCGCCTCTTTCCAAGAGCGGGGAATTCCTTTGGAGAGGGACTTGCTCCACGAAGTTCCCCATGCCTCAGAAAGGAGTCGACTGCCACTTCTATTTCAACTCTGTCTGCTTTAAGGTATGGTTGGGTGTCTTTTGCCTGGATTTTCTTCCTTTCCTCGCTTTGAAGAGGAAGGGGTGGAGCAGGGGGAGACCTGCTGGCGATGCGTTGCCTTCATCAGCGGTGGGATTGTGCGCTCCCTGCTACCAACCTGGGCCGACAGCACGGACGTGTTTCAGGCTGTGCCCTTATTTTCCTTTTGCTCGCAGGGAGACAGCTGTCCATTCCGCCACTGCGAAGCAGCTCTGGGGAGTGAAGAGGTCTGCAAGCTGTGGATGCAGGGTCGCTGTTCCAGCAGCGACTGCAGGCTGAGACACACGAAAATTGATGTGAGTGTTTGCCTAAAGATGAGCTCTCCACTTCTCTCTGGCACGACCTGCAGCGCTGCATCTCTCTGCAAACCTCCTCTGCCTGTTTCCATGACCCTTCCTTTCTTTCTCTCTTCAGAAGAAGCGCAGTGAGATTCCCTGCTATTGGGAGAATCAGCCGGGAGGCTGTCAGAAGGCCCACTGCCCTTTCCTTCACTTGAAGGAACGCAGTGGGAAGGCACCGACTGTACCACCAAGTGACGGTGAGTTCCTGATGGCATGAAGCACGAAAGACTTAATGATGACTGTTACTTCTGAGCGGGTGCAGGATGTCAGGTAACATTCATTGGGGAGTGCAAGGAAGAGTGGTGATAAGTGAAATATTGGTTTGTGTTTTGGCTGTCAGAATAGGGGTGGGTGTTTTCTGGAGAGGGGTAAATGCATTGCAGGCCTGTGCCGACTGCAGAAATGGCACAACGTTTGAGCAGGGGAAAGGCAAACGCAAGAAACTATGCTTGAATACGGGAAGCTTGTGGCTTGGTGTGCTGAAACCTTCCTCCAAAGAGATGCTCTTCAATTATTTCTTGTCTTCTTTCTGCCAGAAGCTGACACGTGCCTTCCTCTGAACAGCGGCCCTGCAGAAAGTCTGGAGAGCCAGACAGTGGTTGAGAAGGCAGCAGAGAGAGGTACAGACACTGAACAGGCATCTGGGTTGGAGGCGCTGCCTTTCTACTCACACGTTCTGATTGTTCTCTCCTGGACTGTTCTCTGCAGGTGACATCCCATCTTCCTCCCACGGCCCGGCTGCGCAAAAGCGCAAGCGATGTGAGGAGAAGGCCAAAGCAAGCGAGTTGCCTCTCAAGAAGAGAATCAAGGGTGAGCACCAGGAGCTTGTTGCAGTGCTAAATGTATTTATCTTTGTTTTGGGTTGGGTTGTGGGAATGATAGAACGGGGATTTCTCTTGAGGCAGAGCAAGACCTTATCAGCAACCTCTTCCTTTTACTTCAGCTGGACGCAAGGTGTTCCTCAGGTCTGCTGGTTGGGAATCCACCTTCCCCAGGAAGCAGACACTGAAGCGGAAGGCAGCGGACATGGAACCATCTGCTGCTGAGGACACCGATGAGCCCCCAGCCCGAAAACTGCCTATGGTAAGAGCAGCAGAACAGCAGCAGTGCATACGGAAGGTTTACACTGCACTTGAAGTCAAGGTAGACATTTCAAGTGTTCTGCAGGTCTGCTGTTTCCTTTGAAGGCAGCAGATGTCTCACAGGGTACTTGTGGAAGAGCTCTATTTTGGGTAGATGTAGAGCAAGGATTATGTAAGACTCTGTGATTCTACAATTCTCAGATTGCTCTGTGGTGTGAAGGATTTTGTCCACGAATGCTGCGCTGTTAAAAGCACCCAAGGTCATTGTAACCTTCAAGAGAACGCTTTCTTCAGGAGCCCCGTGCTTCTGTATTTGGGTTCAGGCTCAGCAGTGCCCAGGGGATGGAGGAGCAGTCCTCAAAGATCATCCAGTGTTGCAGCTGTCCTGCTGTGGCCAGGGCTGCCAGCCACGAGATCTGACAGCCTGAAACCCATCCAGCCTGGCCTTGAATGCCTGCAGGGATGGGGCATCCACAGCTTCTCTGGGAAAAGAAGCTACTTAGGAAGCTCTGAGCCGTGCTTCATACACACTGTCTTGTTTCTTCCTAGGACATCGTTCCAGCCCTGCCTGGGGACAGCCTGGTGACCATTGGTGCAGTTAAAACACCTCCCTGCACAGAGGCAGGAAAAGCGCTCGTCTGTGAGGATGATGACATCGAGAAGTTGATGATGGAAATCATTGGAGATGAGTTAGGAGATATTGACATGGACAGTGAGAAGGATACGGACGAGCTCCTTCAGGAACTGTCTGACATCATTGACAGTGTAACACCGTAGTCTGATTGTGTATTTTAAAACAAACAACAACCAAAAACAATTAAAACCAACCCTATTCCTTTTCAACCAACCTTGTTCCTTTTCTTTCTTATACTGTGGGGACACTTTTCCTGAAACTGTGCAATGTGTCTGAAAGCAAACTGGTCAAAATCAGCAGCGCCTGCATTCTGTTCTCATTTCCCTGCTGCTCAGAGTTCAGGGGCTCTCATTCTCTACTTGTGGTTTTCTACGTGGTACAGAATTATGACTGGAATATTTGTAACTGGAGGACAGTATGAAACATGATCTTCAGCCTTGTCCCCCTTGGAAGAGAACAATTTTGATGACCCAGAGCTGTGCCATTACTTCCTACCTCCTGACAAGGCCTTTGCCCAAAGTGCTGGGACACAGATTTCTGGACACAACAGGAGAAATTGCTGGCTGTGAGCACAGATAGCCCCTCTAAGGATGGCTGGACTTCCCAGTAGGGAACAACTGGGGATTCTGTTCTCACCGTGCCAGAGTTTGTCCTGGGCACCTTCACAATTACTTCCTAAACTAAAGAAGAACTCCTTTTACCTGCTTGAAAGACATCGGTCTCAACAGGTGCTCCGTGTCTCCGGTGCTGCAGGATTCACAGGTCAGTGATGGTTGAGTTTTACTCTGTTGCACATGGGGGCAATACTCTAAAGCCAGTGGCTGGAAGAAGGGATAAAAACAAATGTGCTTTTCCTTTGATGGTTTCATGAAGAAACACATCAGTCTTGTAGGGAAAAGCTATTTCAGGGGGAATTAGTGATAGTAAGTGCTGCTCATGCCAGCCCTGGCTGAGGAGAGTCCATAAGGCACCACCTTTTCCTCAGCATTTTTGTTAGCACAAATATTAAAAGTGCTGAGGGCATGAGATGACACACGAAGTCCTTGACTCGAAACAGGGACGCAGACAGCCCTCGTGCTGAATGCCTTCTGCTCAGGAAGTTGGATTTATACTCAACATTGTTTGAATTTAATTAATTACACTAAAACTATTTCAGCACGCAGTCATCGATTCATCTTTTGTAATAAAGAAATAGAAAGGCTGTGTGAGCTGATAAATACAGATCTGGAAGAAGGCTGCTCTACTACAAGGGCATTGAGACGATGCCTGAGTAAAGCAGATATAGACCAGAAAGATAGTAATTATTTCTTAGAGCTGAGTCCATGAGTTTCTGATTATTTGTTTACCATTTGGGGGCAATTATAAGATCAATAAAGAAAGATAACTGTTAATTTATGTTTTCTCATAAGTCTGAAGATAAAAGATGAATAGAAATGTAGGTAGTAAAAAAAGATGTACACTGATCAAAACCTGTAGAAAAATACCATTTATTTTAAGCACTTTATAAAGACTAAAGCCAGAAAGGGTGCTAGATTACTGAAATCATATAGCTTGTATGTGAGCAAAATGCTGTATTACGTCTTCTGGGTCACTGCAGATGTGGCCTGTAATGTTTAAGTGAAAGCACCTGAAAGTTTTATTTCACTCTGCTTCAACAGCATACAGAAACTAGGCATTCTTCTGCCTGAGCACACCGAAGACTTAATTTCAGAGCACACCTGTGCACCAAAATAGTGTCAGCATCTATACAAAGCATAATGATGGCTCCTGCTGCTTTCTTTAACATAAGCATGTGTCAGCACTGACCAGTACCGATCGTATTGCTTCCTTTCATGCCACAGACCAACATTTAAAGCTTTTAAGCAAGATGCAGAAGATTCGGTTCAGTTCTCTCATATCATAGAGGAGCTTACAAGGGAAGATACTGAACTGTTTCCCTTATTGGAGGTACAAATTGGGACCAAAAATAATCCTGAACTGAGGCAGAAAGGAGAGCACGAGTTGCAACACGCCACTGCTATGCTAGCGGTTGCCTCGGGTTTTCTAGGGTTTTTGTCTCTACCGTGAAGACTTTTTTCTTGAATTAAAAGAAATCAGCCTCAGATTAAAAAGAAAAAAAAAAAGGAAAAAAAAACCCTTAAATGTAAAATTTAGTTATCGTACTATTCATAAAAAGTATAATTTATATTCTTAATAGCGTCAGAAAGTTGGAGATAATTGGAATAAAGTATCACCAAGGGGAAAACAGTATGTTGTGTTAGTCATCCAAACAGGTGGAGAAAATGCCATATAGTTTTGCTTTAATTGCTGATTATGTAAAACTATCAGTCTTTCTAGCCCAGCAGTTTCAGGTCTATTTAAATATAAAATCTGAAAATAAGTAAGAAAGAATTAGAGATCGTAACGTCCTGTGGTTTAACCCTTCATTCTGCATGATTGCTTTGGAAGTATTTTCTCCACTTGTATCATGAACAGTGCTTTTGAATTGTATGATTAAATCGAAATCAATTCCTCATGTTGGCTCAAACTGCTCTTAGGAATAATGATTTTTTTCATGAGCAACTTGGTGGAAAGAGAAGTTCACCTAAATAAATAAAATAAATCTCTGCTAATGTCAACTCCTTCACCACAGGCAATCAGAGTAACAGCTGTGTCGACAACCAACATCTCCTCTGGCTCTAACAAGCAATTTTCATTTTATGCTTCTCAAAAACAGCAGTATTAGATACAGATAAATGCTGTACTTCCTTAGCCAATTGAATCAAATGTGGCTGTATGCAAAAGTACAAATCTAAACGCAAGCCCAAACAATGAATTTAGAGCCACAGTGTATTTAGGTCCTGAATATTTAGTAGCAAAATGATATTTTATTGGTCACCTGCAATTATATAGCAATGACCTTGGGATTTCTGAATTTCACAGCTCTCCCTCTGCCCTTTCAGTTCTGTTTTCTGGAGGCTGTTCCAGAAACACAAAATCAGGACTGTAATTTAAGCTGTTACATAGAAGCTGTGGGATTAGAACCAGACCTCCTTTACAAAAGGCTGGTTCATTTTATTCATTTTTCATCCAGAAGCAAACTGTGGATATGGATTTTCTTACAGATAATTTCTCATTTCAGTGGCTCCTTCTTTAACATGGGCTCCACATCCCTCCACGGGTGAATAGTCTTGACTCTTTATGTTTGCATAGGCTTAAATGGAAGTGACGCAGATGGCATTTCCAAATGTTCACAGCAACATGTTTTGGTTTTTCCCTTTTACTTAGAAGAAATATGCATAATCATAAATTCAGTGGTAGATGGATATTGACTTCAGCTGAATCTTAGTGCATATAGAAGCTACTGACATTTAGACGGTTGATGGGAGTTGAACAGGGTTTTTCACAGTGGCCTTCAAAAGCAGTGCCTTCCTTATGCTTGCTTCACATGGACCCAAATATTCCCTCCATGATCTCTACCTTGCTAGGATTGGCCATCCTGGTACCACACGAGTATTTCTCTCCAACTTTGAAATTGGCTTTGACAGTTCTCTAACACAGAGTCCTCATAGTTGAGTTATCGAAGCCTTTGTTTTGCCTTCTCCATGGTTTATATACTCCATGTTTTTAGAGTTCACTCTCTCAAAGCATGGCTTAACTGGTACCATCTCATGTTAGAACATCACTTGTGAGTGTTCTATGGATCTCACATCTTCCAATATTGTTTATTCAGCTCTTTGCATTTGAGAAATTTGTCTTCAGCTAAAACCTGAAGGATTGCACCACAGCTGGGAAGTGAACTCCTTTAGCATCAGGAAGAGGCAAGGGCAGGGACCAGAAAGCTCTGGAAACAATGCCTTGGGAAAATAAGAGGTGCAAGAAGAATCCTGTTCATTGGGAGGATAGATTAACTGACTGAGTACTGATGTTTTTGTCTAAGTAGCTTCTTCCCCTTTGTTGTCCTGGACCAATCTTACTCTCTGCTGACCTTCTCCTGTGGTGCTACAGCCAAATTTTGTACGATTACCTTAGCTTAAAATAAGCATGGCAGAACTGGTATCTGCCAGTTTCTGTTCTGAGACACTATTGAACATATATATATGCTGGAGAAAAAAAAAATAATCTGTGTTATCCTGTAATAAACCCCTCCAAGAGTAAACATCAAGTTCAGATCATTTCTCCAACAGAGGAAGGTCTCTTCCCTTCCTCCAGAAGCAAATGCCTGTAATCCCAGCTCAGCTGCAGCTGTGCTGATAAGAGGTGTGGAGGGAGAAATGAGAATTCAGAAGGTAGTGCTGCAGAGGTCCTTCTCTGGTTAGCCTGGACTGTTAGGCCCGGTGCCCTAAGCTCTTTGGATTTTGGAAGGTAAGTCCTATTAAATCTCTGCAGCTGTGCAACAGGGAACATGTTGTCTTATGAAAAAATAACATTCTCTTACAATACTGATCGAGCCACAAGTGTCTGAGATAAATAAAAGCACTGAGTACAGCTTGTGGTTTGGGAAGATGTAGATGGGGTACTCTCTGCTTATGCCACTTGCATACTCTTGCACTTTTCCTAGGGAGTTCTTTAGCTTACCTCTCTCCAAATTTAGGGAAGTGTTACATGAAGAATGTATCCTCCAAAGATAACAGTCACTTGTAAAACATAAACGTCTTATTCTCAATCACAGTATCTGCAAAGCATGCTGATGGGGGCTTTAAAAGCAACGTAAAGTAATTACAATTTAGCCAATTAAGCTCATTTGCATAATTAAATGATTGGGATTGTAGGATTGACATGCATAATGAATTTACATTTTAAATGCTGTGTTCTGAAGTTTTGCCTGTATATTAACTGTTCGTTTTGCTATACTACAGAACCTAAGGGCTGTCCATCAAATAGCTGAGAAAGCAGAAGGTTCCCTTTGTTCCTGTACATGAGCCATACATTCTCTGTGACTGGATGGCCCCGTTGCTCTCAGCATTTCACTGGGGAAGTGAAGCAGTTGACAACAGGTGACAGTATTTTAATCTAAAGATTTCCTTTGCTTAATGAGCAGCTCTTAGGGTTGTGAAATCACCATTGACATAGTTATTGTCTCGTCAGTCCTTAATTTAGTATGCAACACAACATCTCTTAATTAAACCAAGCAAAATTCCCACATTAGAAAAGACTGAAAAGTAACTCTTAGGTAGGTCTGTACTACTTAGTATTTGGAGCAGTGTAGTAGCAGGTAGAGTTTATATGCATTTACCTCCTCCCCATAGATTAAAACATAGCAGTATCCACCTTTTATCCACCAATTGCTTCCACCTGTACTGGTGAATCTGCTTGACGTTTATCAGCTGTAATGTGTGTATGCCACACTCAGAGTTTGAGATAAAATATTTGTTAACCTCCAAGGGTGAAGCTGCAGCCTGTGGATAAGCATACCTTATTCTCCAAGCTGAAAATAAATTCTACTTTATTTCTGCAGTAGCGATGATTTACAGGTTGGTATTTTTTTTAATTGTGATATTTACAAAGGTTATGCACAGATATGATTCGTTTACTTGTGTGAGGTTCCTTCTATACAGCATCAAATGTGAACTGTAGAAAATACCACTACAAAGTGGTAATTTTTTTCAGGAAATGTTTATCTGAAAGAGCTTCCAAGTTAGGATTATTTTATTCTAGCCCCTGTGTACGTAGTTAGATTTCTGGTGCTCACATGAGGTGACACTTCTCAGTAAAATAACAGTTGTGCTTATTTGGATTTAGTTCATGAATATTTTCTAATAGTTTGTGGCACAGTGTGTTTGGGTCTTTTTTCTCCTTTTATCTGACACATAGCAGAGTTTCAAGGCTCTGAAATTTTAGACCAACACTGTATACCTGTCAAGACAAAGTCAAACTGCTAGCCTGTATAAGTAGGCAGAAAATGTTAAATAGTACCTTTTGTTTTGGAGTGCTTTCAGTTTAAGATGAGGTAAAGGAAACATCAAAACCCATACTGTGGGTTTCTCTGATGTTCTTGGAGTTTCATTACAGAATTAAGTAGTAATGTCAGCATATGATGACCATCCTACTGAAGCTGAATGTCTTCTTTAGCAGTAATATGTTATTCTAATATGTTATTTCCTCACTCTAAAAGGAATTAACATGTAAAGACTATTGTTTTCTTGAAAACAGAACTCTAGAACACCAGTATTTATAGCTTTTTATGCTTTAGATGTAAGAACAGTTCTTACTGTGCACAAAAATGTGTAGATGTTTTGCAGGCAAGGCTGAACCATTTTTTAAAAGCCAATAATGTCCTATTTAATGTTCTGATAATGAGCTTCCTTCTGATTCTTTTGCTCTGTGTTTCAAAGCATTCTTGCTTTTGTCTAACTGTAGCTCCTTGGTTTGAATATAATTACACTGAGGGAACGGGTGCCTCTCTTACGGTTCTCTCCTAAAGACCAGAAAGTTCTGCTGCTTTATGTGTTCTTATTAAGAATGTAGATGAAGTTTAGAAAAGGGAAGATCTCAGTGGATTTTCCATAGAGTTAGCAACAGAATTAACTCTAATGAGTGTACTTGCTAAAGGTCTTTGAAAGAAAGGAAAGCATTAGCTGGCAGTGACAATTCCCACTGGGGAAGAGCTTCAGAAAACGTGTGGGTGATACGTCTTGCATTCTGTGATATATGTATATATTTTTTTTCCCTGTTTACTTTGAGCTAGAGAATCTTGAAGCTCTTGTAGCAGAGCAGGCTGTTTCTGAAGAAACAGCTCTCTTGTTTCGTTGTGTTATTACGTGAAAGTATCCTATTCCCAAAGCACGTGAATTCCAATCTCAAATGGAGGTGACTAGATGAGGAGGCCGAAGAGGAAGCTGTGCTAAAGAGCTTCTCTGGAAGTTTTCTCTAGAACCTATCTCATCCTGCACTAAAGCTGTAGAGCTTTTATTTTATTTTTTCCCAAGCATATTTATTGAAAGTGTATTTGTCATTCTTCATGCTCAGATTCTTCCTCTAATTTTCACGCCTTGGAAGCCCATTTTGCATAGCTCAGACATTAGCCATAGGTTGTCTAAGTGTCAAGCTTTGAAAGGTTGTTTGTGGCTTTATTTGAAATGCTTCAAAAGTAGTTTTCACCTTATAAAATAAATCTTCTGTAACTCCCTAACCCATTTTTACTCAGGCACTGCTTCATACTAGCATTGGCACAGTGGATGCCAACAGGTTTTTGGGGGGCTTCCATAAGCAAGAACCTTTTGGTTTACCTCCTATATTTTGTTGTCCTTTTAGGTTAGAAACAAGATGACTGACAGCTTGTAATATCTATTTTGCAGACAACTTTGCCATAGCAACAATGCAGGCTATGGTGTAGATTTTTCCCAGTCTCTAAATATGCCTTTTCATGCAGGTGTTCATGCATGTGTACGCTTCCTTAGTCTGAGATGCCTTCTTCCCAACAACCCAGCTGTGGCTGGTGCCATGTTACCAGCATGGCCTGAGCCATCCTCACAAACTCTTAGAAACACCGAGATTTTTTGAATCAAATAAATATTCAGAATCTCTTTCAGGACAGATAAAATTTAAGTCCTCCCCTTGAGTTCATCTCAGCATAGTGACTCTTTCTGAAATACGTCTTACTGGTGACCATTAGCCTTCACAAGGTTGGAAAAGATTTTAAAAACCGCATGTGTGTATGTGGTTGAGTTAAGGTGATACCTGCTGGATCTACTGGAAACTGCCAAGCCAAGGCAGAGGGGAACTTTCAAAGCACTTAAATAAGGAGAGAATCTGAAAAAAACTTACTTCCATATAGCACATAATTCTGAACGTCTCTCTTTGTTCTCTCAGATTGGTTCTTTCAGCTATGGCCGCGATGTGTAAAAATAGTGACGTGCTGTTATTGGAAATAAATTACATTGTGCGTTTTTCTGCATTTCAGAGAGGGGCCGGATGGGTAGAAAGGGCTGTGTTTACATGTTTCACTTCCCCTTACTCGAGAAGCCACCAGCTTTTATCTAAACTGTTCAAAATATTTAGTTTCAGACAGAGTTGCCTTAATAAAATGGTACTTTTCAGGCTTCTTGCAGTATCGCAACTTTAAAAAAGGAAAAAAAAAAACCAGCAAAATCTGGACTATTGATGACAATGATGACAGTTCTCTGGATCTGGCTGTGTTTTGTGCAGCAGCAGCTCTCCCCAGGGTGGACCTGTGTCCATGCACAGAGCCCAGCCTTCTCCTGCCACTGAGCAGAGCAGCCCCGGTGCGTGCGGCAGAGCTGAGGAGCTGGCGTGTCCCCCTGAAACTTTCTCCCCTATCTCTGCTGTGAGGTGTGTTCGTGTGCCAAGGAGGGGGAGAGAGAGACCCAGTGCAAAGGAGAGCAAGCAAGGAAGCCAAGGGAGAGAAGGGAGCTTGTTTCATGCACTGCTGAAGGCTGTCAGAGGCAGAGCGCAGCAGCAGCTCACTGGTGGGGTGCAATTTAAGGGACAGCGCTAATTGACTTTCTTCACTGAATTGCTGAAGGACAGATATGACATCTGACTGGTGCATCTATATATTCTTGCTTATTGCAACAAAGGGTAAGTACATCTGTCTCCTTTTCTTTGAGCATTGCAAAGCATAGAGCTAATAAACTTAAGTAGCAGATTTTGAACTACAGTATCTCAGTGCTATTTTATGCTTCGCGATGGCAATTATTCTTTTATGGAACCTGAGTGTAATACAGTCTCTCAATGTTAGTAGCTACACCCTGAGATCAACTGATTTTTTTGTTTAATGCTTTGAGAGTTGCTAATACTAATTATGAGCCAGAATGCAAATAAAAGGAACGGTTTAAGCTGCAAGCAGGCTTGCTGTAAATATTTCATGAAGGTACCTGTAGAACCAACTCCTTTTACCTGCCTTGAAATCCACATTTTAGACTTCGTTCAGTAGTTTGCCACAATACTGCACAGTGCTATTGGAACTGATTGTTCCTAAAAAGTAGATCGTGCTCGGGTAGCAGAAATCATGCTGCCTGATTCAACATGTGGTGTTGAAGTAGCAGGAAAGGTGAGGGTTGAATTAAATTCAAGATTCCCCTCAGATGCAAAACACTTCAGTAAGGTGAGAGTTTCACCTTTAGTAACGTTTTCCTCATTCCAGCTGAGTACCATGTGTGTAGGTGCTGCTTTTACTCAGGTTAAGCTGCCCCTGTGCAGCTGCTGACACAGATCTGCACATGGGATTGTTGTAATGGCTATCATTTCCTTTGATTCTGATTTTTTTATGTTAAACACTTCTTGTTGTTGCAGTAGTAAACGTGAAAGTAATGCTTCAGTAATTTTGTAGGGTAGTGAATAGTGTAAGGCTGAATTCTTTTGTATGGAACAACAGCTGGCTCTCTGCTGCTTTTAAATTAAGCCTGTTTCAGTTTTCCTGTGCATACTAAGCCACGTAACAAAGGATATATAAGGGACATTGCTCTCATTAAGAGTAGGAAATACAGCCCTGTTTATTGTCGTATTTATGGTAGCAAAGCTCAGTTAACTGTGGGAAAACTCTAAGTGGTTCTATAATGTTTTGGAGGAATACATGACATGAGTGCTGCAAGTGTGGGGGGGGAAGAAACCAGCAATGTTAATTTATTAGGAATTAAGCAGGCTGTGGTAATGAGATCTTAACAAGCCTGTGAGAAAAGTATGGCTTCATATGTGTCTGCACTCTCCATGAGCAGCCCTCCTATATTTAAAGATAGTACTTCAAGTTATGCAGAATATAAACTGCAGAATTTCAAACAAATTAAGCCTTTCACATTCTTGTTGCTATAGCAAAGCAGGAAAATGTTGAGACGTTTATACAAGACGTGCAAATTATTGTTGGTATCATTTCTGTTGCCTTACATTCACCTCCGCTGGAGAATTTCTAAAATTTAATGAAATATTTTAAAGCATTTTGCAAAATGGGATTGCAGATGGGGTCTGTGAATGACTACAGGCCTTCCAATGCCGTGCTTTTGACAGCCGTTCCATTCTTAGGTACTCATTGTCTCCTCAT